GCGCCTGATAACACATCATCCATGTAGCAGTCCTCCCTTAGTACAGGAGACGCTATTGGAAATTCATTGGAACCGTCGATCGAAAGTTGCTTTAATGTGCGTGTTGCCAAAAATGGTGCAACTGCAGTACCGTATGTTACAGTGCTGAGTTCAAATTCTTTGATTGGTTGATCCGGTGATTCTCTCCACAAAATTCTTTGGAGGTGAGTTTGAGATTCATCGACGCGAATTTGTCTGTACATTTTTTCTACGTCGGCCGTGAAGGCAATTTTATGGCGACGCCAACGGAGAATTATTGTGGTCAGATCATTTTGATCAATGGCACCAATTGGAAATTGATCGTTTAAACTTTTCTTATTTGCCGTTTTTTGAGATGCGTTAAAGACTACTCTCAATTTTGTAGTAGTACTATCTTTGAACACACAATGGTGTGGTAGGTAATGGGCGTCCGGGTGATAATGTACTACCTCACGCATGTGACCGGAAATAATATATTCGTTCATAAAATCGCAATATTGGATTTTCAATTCTGGATTACTTGTACAACGGCGTTCGAAAGAGAACAATGACGCAAGTGCAGCTCTCCTCGAGTCTCCAAGATCAGGTTTTTCCAAACCCCCCTTGAATGGTAGCATAACCACATAGCGTCCATCTTCATCGCGTTTGTGTGTTGCTACAAAATGTGATTCACACATTTCTTCTTCTTCCGTTAGTGCTTCACCATCAACATTATTAAAGTCATCAGATGCGAAAAAACGGCTCATTTGTTGTTCTAATTCAAAATTAGAGACAAGTGAAGTGACTTGCATTTGCGCTAGCGATTGAGCCATTGCACCCGACACAATCCAACCAAACTCTGTGTTTTGAGCGATCAAACTTTTGTCTGATTTTATCAGACCTGATTTGATGGCCTGAGCGTACTCGTACGCTCCCAAAATAATGTCGATTTCCGATTCGCGCAAAAATGATGGATCCGCTAACGTAAGATTGTTAATAAATTCAAAATCATCTTCATTGTAATCGAAATGTGTGATATGCGTGAGTTTTTTGAGGACAATTGCCTCTGTGTTGATAGCAAAATCTGATTCAAAACGAGGAAAAATGGACAATTGCATTGCATGCTTGGCCGTTTGCTGTGCTGCACCGATGCCCGATACAACTGCATTTATGTTTTTTCTTGGAAGGCGAAGTGTTTGTGCAGCACTTTCTGTAATGAATGCGCTTTGTGACCCCTGGTCGAGTAGAGCGCGAAGTAAAATCAGTGAACCATTTTTATCGGGAATTGCAATCATAGCCGTAGCTAATAACACTGCACAAGCTCTTTGCAGAGCTATTGTCGACTGGACATAGATGGTTTCGTTTGAGTCGGTTGATTGTTTTGCATGTTGCACTTTTGCCGTATTTGCTTTAACGATGGATTTTTCATCGGATTTTTTGGATTCGAAATGCAATAGAGAATGATGAGATTTTTTACATGTCTTGCACGAAAATTTGCTTACGCAATCGCGGCTTTGATGCGTTGAGGAAAAACAGTTTAAGCAGAGTTTCTTTTCTTTGACAAAGTCGGAGCGTTCACGAACGGATTTTTTCGCAAATAATGCGCATTTATACAAACCGTGTTCACCATTGCACATGATGCATTTATTTTTGTTATGATAGCTTGATTTCTCATGTTTTTCAAAATGTTTTTCAAAGTGTTTTTCAATATTTAAAGTGTTTTTGGCTCCTACCGCTTGTAGTGCCATAAACCTACCCTCTAGGTAGCACAAAAACGAATCAATGTTAGACAATTCTTTCACGTCGTCTAATTGGCACTCATAATGCACGAGCGTAGTAGAGTCCAATTTTTTAATCAAAATGTGTGAAATCAGGTGTCCGAATAGGTGCTCATTCGTTACACCCAAGTTTTTTATTGACATCAGCGATTCATATACCGTGTCATGCATTGTTTTCAATGAATCAGCGTTTTCATTTTTTATTTTTGGAAAAGAAATTACGTTATCGAGCATGCAATTAACTAATTCACGTTTATTATCGAATCGTTTACGCAACAATGCATAACAGGTATCATAATTCTCTGGCGTTGGAGCCAAATGATTGATAATTTTTGCTGCTGCATCTTTAATACACGTCTTCAAATATTCAACCTTCATGCCCTTATCCAATTTTTGATTGTTATGGATAATTTTATCGAACAAAGCTATGAAATTTTGCCATTCATTTTTGTTTCCGTTAAATTTAGGTAATTCAATTTTAGGCAAGGAGAATTGAGTGCTTGAAGTCGGCATTGAATTGTTTTCGACGCGAGAGTTTGAAATTGGTTGAAGGAAATCACTCAACTTACTTGTAACATTCATGTATTTTAGCAGGAGCGTGTTGTAATTGAACGCGATCGGCTTTCCAGTTGATTTGTATTCGTAAACCAATTTCCGCAATTCGCTCCACATGTTGTTGATCAGCTCCAAATTGACTCGAATGGTACCAGTTGATGATGTTTCATTTATGTCACGCGCCGTTGCGAGCAGGTCTAACATGTCATCGTATATGATTTTTAGTAAATCAACAGTTTGAGTAGTGCTCGAATCATCGCTTTTATTAGAATGATTTGCGAGATTTTCGTTACTTTGCTCATCGCCCAGGTTCTGCGGTCTTTCGTTTTCCGATGATGGCTGAATTTGATTGACATTCTCGTCTTGTTTTTCGGTAGAAATGTTTGATGTTGGTGCGTCTTTGCTCGCAGTGCTGGTGCCGGGGTTTACCATATTGTTAATTGAGGGTGGCATAACGGTTTGCATTATAGTGGCAATTGACAGTGGAGCCGTTGGTGGTGAATTAGCTTGTATCCTCTCCATGATGTCTTTGCGAGTTGCCTCGTATTTTGCCTTGATGGTATCGTACGTTTTTTCTTTGACGTATGGTTGATTGGTATTCACACTCTTCATGATTTCTTCGTGGTTTTTGGAGATAATTTTAAACAATTCGTCGAACGTATCGATTTTGTCGTTGAGATAGCGTGGCGTTTTACGATCCGGGCCATCCTTTCCGTAGTTACGTATTAGTTTATGTAACTCGTCGATTTCCGTGGCTTGAGCCGATAACAAATCCGTTACATTTGACATCTCGATGATTCACCACTTTTTTATCACTTGACAATAATTTTACTTTCCACCTTGGCACTTCACGAGTATGTTTTCGCGCACAATTTCTATCGTTTTTTAATGATTCACGTACGATATTTGCTGGCGAGCGCAAGTGTTTGTGAATTGTCTGTTACTTGTTAATAACTTGTGGCTGGCTTGAGCACTAAAAATTGTTTTTTGCTGGCTGGAGCACTAAAACTGTTCGGCTGGCGAG